TTTTTTTTTTTTTTTTTTTTTTTTTTTTATTAAACAGCGTACTTGTTGATGAATATTAAGTAAAATACAATAACATCCCATGAAAAAGAGAATTAAGAACACCATCTTAAAACTATGAAAAGATATTAAACAATAAATAAGCTAAAATATGACCACATAGTTGAAAAGTATTTTGATGGGAGTAGTAACAGCATAGACGTAGTTTAATTAAAAACTACTTGCAAGTTATAAACTTCACATATTTTATATTTTCCCCCCCATTAAGTTCAAAGTTTCTCACCTTTCTTTTTATATATATATATATAAATGTCAGTTTTTAACAACGATATTTTAGGGTGACATAAGAATGTTCGTAGTCTGATGAAAAACAAGCATGTTTTAGTTCACATAAAGAAGTGGGATCGTCTAGTAACTCTGTAGTTACAGGTACGGATTTCCAATATACGAATTATATTTTAATTCCATATTGTTAGATGCTACCACTTGTGTGTTTACCCAAACATGAATTAACAGTCATAGGTACAGCAGTATACGAATCAAGTTGTAATCAAACTATAACAATAAAGTTTTAGTTGGTTATCAAACACGCTGTGATTGTGATTCCTTAGGGTATTAAGATTTATCCTGGTGATATAATTTGCATTTACCTAACCAAAAGCATAAGAAACAATCACGTAATGCTGAGGTTAAATCATGGTTATCGTATGATCTATAAAATTCATGTTTGGAAGAAATAGGTAAAGAGTTGAAACATCCTGTGCATTAACCGGATAACAAAAATTTATTACTCAGTTTTAAAAATGCTTAAAAATAATTAGCAACTAAATTAACGATGAAATTATACTTCAACAGAAGAGAAAATTTTAAGTTACCATCCCATAATATTTTTTTACGTTTGAAATAGTAGGAACTACACTTACTTCGAATGAGGTCAGAGTTTGGTTACTGGAGCCTCCATGAAGATGACTTTGTATCCTAGTGGGATGATGATTTATTAATACGTCGTCATACGGAACTCCGGTAGATCCAGGAATATCACACGGTGGTTGGTGTTCACTTTTACAGGGCAGAAAATTCTGAACCTTCTTCTTGTGTCTATTTAAACAAATTAAGATAAAAAACAAATAGTTTTTATAGTAAGGAAGTGATACACGACTTCAGTGAAAACAACCTGCAGGTAGAAGAAGAAAATGAGAACATGTTTAGATTCTGAACAAACATGAGTGTGAACAAAAATAAATCGTCAGGTTTACAGTACAAAACGAAAAAACACGGTCTTCGATATTTGTTTGTAGATAGATAGAACAACGTAAACACAACATGGATACAAGGTTTGAAAAGGCAGGAGAGAGAAACGCAGAAAATGAAGGTCTTAAAAGTGCTAATTATGTAGAGAAAGTATCATATGCAAATTATCAATTTCTTATCTGTTTAGGAATTGGATTTAAATTATGCCTAATCTTTTGTCTGTGTTGTACATGTTTAATATCTGTTTAGGAATTGGATTTAAATTATGCCTAATCTTTTGTCTGTGTTGTACATGTTTAATATCTGTTTAGGAATTGGATTTAAATTATGCCTAATCTTTTGTCTGTGTTGTACATGTTTAAACTGTTGTTGATGGAAGTTGTAAATTATGTAACATTCATAAAGTTCTGCTTGGTACCATTACTAGGCAACAGATGTATGGAAGGTTCCTAATCCTCATATTACACAGAAAAACATGTTTGCAGATATGGTGATAATGCTGCATTTGTATTTTCCACGTATTCTGACGATCTTTAATCTTTATTAAGTTCAACTTTTTACCCTTCACACACACACAAGTATATAGGTCACGTGCTCTCAAACTCGGACCGCGTAACCATACAATAATGTGTATATAATAGAAAAGTCTCACGATACTATAATTTACCTTCTCAGGCACTACCAGTCTATGTTGATTGCATACTGAACGACAAAGCAATTCATCGTTTGGCATATACAATTTGTCAAGATAAAACAATACATTTTCATCGTGACTGTGATCATTACATGGAAGACAGAATGGCGCCTCATAGTACAATAAAGTGTAACCAGACTTAATTTATTAAAACGTTGGTGGTTTGGGTAGAACTAGAGAATTAAGCAAACACAAAGCCTCAAGTATATGATGATGGAAGTGAAGTAAAAAAAAATATTTTAAAACATAGCAGTTTACTGGCATATTATATATATTGTTTTTGTTAAGTTCACAACTTTTACTTATGTTTCCAACATAATGTTTCTTTAGGTATGTCAGCTTATAATTGACAAACGCTGGACCTATTGTCACCAAACTTGACATGTACCTTTAAGCCAACTCAATGAGTCGTACAGGGGTCAGCTTTTAGATTTGCTCCCTATGATACTCCGGAAGGGGGCTTATGTCTTTTCCGTGATTTAAACGGGTACGTCAACTAGTAAATGAATAAAATAATACATTAAGGTGACTGGCAAACGAATCATTATATTCGGTATGATTTTTTTTTTTTTTTTTTTTTTTTT